TATATTCCTGCAGTCACAATGGCATACTATGGAGCCTTAACACAGATTTGTGAGGAATAGAGGAATATATGTTTCTGTATTCACAATGGAATATTATTCAGCCTTAAAATAGAAAAAAAATTGTTGTATTTGCGATGACATGGAAGAAACTGGACGACATTATGCTAAGTGAAATCAGCAGAGCACTGAAAGACAAATGCTGCATGATGTCATTCATGTGTGGATCCTTAAAAAATTGAACTCTGCTTAGGAACTGATTAATTAACGAGAGAGAGAGAGAGAGAGAGAGAGAGAGAGAGAGAGAGAGAGAGAGAGGGAGAAAGAGAGAGAGAGAGAGAAAGGGAGGGAGGGAAGAGAAAAAGGAAAAAAAAAATGTTGAACTCATAGAAGCAGAGAGTAGAATGGTGGTTACCCAGGGCTGGGTGTGGGGGAAGAATTAGGCAGTTGTTGGAGAAATTCTGGGGAGAATTAGGCAAATGTTAGCCTTAAGCTCCTGGACTCAAGCAGTACTCCGGCCTTGGCCTCCCAGAGTGCTGGGATGACAGTCATGAACCACTGTTTCCAACCACGAATAGACTTTTCAACAGATGGTGCTGAGGCAACTGGGTATTCATGTACAAATAAATCAATTTGGGTCCCTGCCTAACACCATACACAAAAATTAACTGAAAACAGATCACAGACCTAAATGTAAAACGAAAACAATAAAACTCTTAGAAGAAAACGTAAGAGTAAATTCTTGTGCTCTTGTGTAAGGCACTGATGTCTTAGATACAACATCAAAAGCACAGTTGAAGACCGGTCAGGGCTACCTAATGAGACCTGGAAAAGGAGGAGAGGGAAAAAGCAAGAAAAAGAAAAACTGAACATCAGCTGAATTTAAAACTTTGGCACATCAAAAGATACAATCAAGAAAGGGGAAGACAGCCCGCGGAATGGGAGAAAATATTTATAAATCATATGTATGTCTAATAACAGATAACCGGAAGAACTCTTACAACTCAATATTAAAGGACAATCCAGTTAAAAATGGGGAAAGAACATGAAGAAACATTTCTCCAAAGATAATATTTTAATGTCCAATAAGCACATTAAAAAGTGTTCATCGTTAGTCACTAGGAAAATGCAAATTAAGCCATAATGAGATGTCTCTTTCCACCCACTAGAATAACTACAACCAAGCAGACGCATAACACCAAGCACTGGAGAGGATGTGGAGGACAGTACCCTCATACACTGCCCGTGGGAATGCAAAATGGTACAGCCACTTTTTTGGAAGATAGTATGACAGTTTCTCAAAATGTTAAAATTAAAATTGCCTTCTGTAGCAGAACTGCAAGGGGCTCAAGACAAAAATCCTAATAAAATAAAGTCAAATTGCCTTAAAGTCAGCAACTTTACTTCTAGGTATCGAACCAGGAAAAATGCAAATGTTGTTCACACACAGACTTGTAGGTGAATGTTCACAACAACACTCTCAAGAACCAAAAAGTGGAGACGAGCCAAATGCCCATCAACTGACGAAGGAATTCACATGTGGGGAATACGAAGGAATACTATGCAGCAATCAAAAATGAGTTCTGAGGCCTGCTACCACGGTGATCAACCTCAACAACGCAATGCTTCGTCAAAGAAGCCAGATGCAGAAGAACACACATTGCATGATTTTGTTTATATGAGAGGTCCAGAGCAGCCTAACATAGAGATAGAAAGCAGCTTACTGTTTGACGAGGGCTGGGAATGAGACTGAAAAGTGACTCTGATGGGCACAGGTTTCTTTCTGGGATGATGAAATGCTCTTAAACTAGCTTTTGGTGATTATTACATAATTCTGTAAATATACTAAAACTCATTGAATTGGACCAAGCACAGTGGCTCACACCTGTAATCCCAACACTTTGGGAGGCCACGGCAAGAAGATCACTTGAGCCCAGGAGTTCAAGAACAGCCTGGGAAAGAGAGAGAGACTCCATCTCTACAAATAATTTAAACACTTAAACAGGTGTGGTGGCACAAGCCTGTAGTCTCAGGTACTCAGGAAGCTGAGGCAGGAGGATGACGTGATCCCAAGGGGTTGAGGCTGCCGTGAGCCATGAGCCATGATGGCACCACTGCACCCCAGCCTTGGTATCAGAGCGATAACCCTGTCTCTCTCTCTCTCTGTCTCTCTCTCTCTCTGTCTCTCTCTCTCTCTCTCTGTCTCTCTCTGTCTCTCTCTTTCTCTCTCTCACACCACACACACGCGCGCACACACACACACACACACCGTACACTTAAAATGGGTAAATTTTAGTATGTAAATTACACCTCTATAAAGCTGTTAATTTTTTTTTATTTTATTTATTTATTTTTTTGAGACAGAGTTTTCCTGTTTTTGCCCAGGCTGGAGTGCAATGACGCAATCTCAGCTCACCACAACTTCCGCCTCCCAGGTTCAAGGGATTCTCCTGCCTGAGTCTCCCAAGCTCCCGCCATGATGCCTCGCTAATTTTTTGTATTTTTAGTACAGATGGGGTTTCACCATCTTGTCCAGGCTGGTCTGAAAGTCGTGACCTCAGGTGATCCACCCGTCTCGGCCTCCCAAAGTGCTGGGATTACAGGCATAAGCCAGGCAGTGTTTTAAGTTTTAAAATTAAACTATTTACCCCTAGCACCAAGATTGTAGGCTCAAAAATACCATTGCCCAGTGAAAGAAAACAAGCCTTCCTGGAGAAAGTGCTGATTTCAGGTCTAGGCCAGAAATATGTAAGGAGCCTGGAACATACTGTCACTCTGGATAGCAAAGAATCCATCAAAGATGATTAGGATGATTTCAACATGTCTGAAGGGCCAATCTGAAGGGACTCCTTCTAACCAACGATAGGACATTTTGTATACTAATCAGGATAATAGTTGCAGTGAATTGAGATATATCAGATATGTTTGAATGTCTGCATTCAGAGTGATCCTTTTGAAAAAGTAAAAGTGGGCTGGCACAGTTCCTCATGCCTGTAATTTCAACACTCTGGGAGGCTGAGTTAGGAGGATCACTTCATCCAGGAGTTCAAGACCAGCCTGTGCAACACAGGGGGACTTTGTCTCTACAGAACATTTTTAAAATTACTCAGGTATGAGGGCCCATGTCTTTGGTCCCAGCTACTCAGGAAGCTGAGATGGGAGGGTCACCTGAGCCTAGAAGATTGAGGCTGTAGTGGCATGACTGCCTCTCTGCATACCAGCCTGGGCAACACAGCTAGACCCTCCCTGTCTACATAAATTAACTAATAGAAGTGGTGACCACTGAAGGATGTAAATGAAACAGCCCATCATTTTGAAAAATGGTAAACAGAAGAAATCAAGCCATGAACTGGCATTTTCTATATAAATTGTACAAGTGAGTAACACCGTTTATAAGAAGCAGCATCTCTTTTTTATATGTACGTTATTGTTTTCTTCATGCAAGGCCCTTCTTAGGGTAGCAGTATCTCTTTCTGGAAGTATGGCAGCTCATAAATGAAGAAGGAATGATACAACAATACCTTCATTGTTCAATCCGTAATTGATCAATGGCCATTAACATCACTAATTAAAAAAGAAAAGATGTCCAGTGAGTACACACCTCCTCCCAGAAGAAACTAGCACAGTCTTTTTGCCCTGACCCTCAAGTCCAACCTGAATGTGACCGAGTGTTGAGATCAAACTACTAATTTATAAAAACTAGAACAAAGTGAAGAGCAAGTTAACCAACATCACAAGATAAAATCAGCAAAATTCACAGTATGGGAAACAGCATAATGAGAATACACTTAGCATAATCCAAACTATGAGGAAACGGCCTGATTTATTCAATAAATGAACTGCAAGGGACATCACAGAGATCAAAGTAGGAAGCTGTCAGGATTTAAAAAACCTAAGAGGTGAATCAAACAATCCCAAAGAGAGACTTTATTTGGATCCTGATTCAAACCATAAATATATGAAATGACTGGAAATCTGGAGCTAGCAGGAGAGTTGACAGTGATAAAAAAGCAGTAGTGTGAGAAGATTGGTTGATGATGGTATTGGGATTACATTTTTTAAAGAGTTCTTGTCTCCGGGCACAATGGTTCACACCTATAATCTCAGTAGTGTGGGAGGTCAAGGCGGGAAGAGCCTTTGAATCCAGGAATTCTAGACCAGCCCGGGCAACATAGCAAGACCCTGTCTCTACTAAAATACAAATAAAAAAATTAGCTGGGCATGGTGATGTGAGTCTGTAGTTGCAGCTTCTCAGGAAGCTGAGGCAGGAGAGGCCACAGTGAACCAAGATCATGCCACTGAACTCCAGCCTGGGTGACAGAGACCTTGTCTTGAAAGAACAAACAAGAATCGTATCTTTTACAGACATATACCAAGACAGTCGGGGGGAAGTTATATGATGCGTGGGATTTGCTATAAAATCATGAGAGGAAGAGGAGAAGCATGTAGGAGTGTACATGTAATGAGACTGGCCATGAGATAACAGATATCTGAATCTGCTGCTGAGTAGGGGAAAGCTCACTACACTAGCCTCTTGTTGAAAAAGCTCTAGAATAGAAAGCTTGTCTAAAAATCCACCTCATGGGTTTGTAACAAGCATTGAATAAGATCATGTATACAGAGTGCTTTATCACCACGGCTTGCAGGTAGTCAGCACATGTTGCTTTTAGTTTTGTATAGTCCCTGTCCATTAATCACACCCAAAAAAGGTACGTTGTTCACACCAAGAGCTCTGGCCCGTGGACCTCTGTCCACTTGGTGGTAATTTATTGGAATTTGAGGTTTAGAATGAGGAAATGCCAGGCTTCAAAGCCCCAGGCCTACTATGAAATAGCGAATCCAACAGTCCCACATGCCTTCGTAGCACACCTAGCAAGTAGGACCACTTTTCTCTCACCTTGTAGGCACACTTGTTCATTCACTCACTGTTTTTCATTCATTTCTTTTATGCCATGTATTGGGTGCTAGGGACCCATAATACAGTGGACCCATAATTGACTGGAAGCATCACTTTCAAAGCATCGTTTCAGGATGAGTATTTCATGTCAAGTGGATTCAAGGAACAGTGTGAAGGATCCATGGCCTCAGTCACCGTGAAGACCCTCCCAAGAGTCAGCCCTACTGGGCAGGTATAAATGAGTGGAGACATGGAACTCACCCTTACAAGGCCTAAACCTGACAGAGCACACAAGACAGAAGCCCAGATAACCAGGAGCAGGAAGCTGAAGGTGAGAGGTGGGCCCCAGAGGATTCTGGGAAAATGCTTTGTGATTGTGGATTTATCACGCAGAATGAAACCTTAGTTTTTATTCACAGGTTAGACACGCTGTCTGTACAGAATCTATGAAGGGACATTTCAGAGCCCCTTGAGGCGTATAGTGAAAAATGGGCTATCTCAGGCAGCCCAGGATGAATAATGCCGTCACCAAGAGGGGCAGGGTGGCCACAGGTGGCCAGCAGCAGGGATGGGCATTGTGAGCCATTGGATGGGGTTATGGGGCATGGCATTGTGAGCCACTGGCCTGACTTTGTTGTTTCCTGGTAACGAGGTGACATAGGAGGCTTTGTGGGTGACAGGCACCAGCCAGGGCCAGCAGCCTTCAGTCGGAAGCTGTTAGTGGGGAGAGGAGGAGCTCCGACTGCTCTCACGGAAGCGTCTGTGCCCTTGGCACCTGCTCTGTTGCTTTGTTTTTTTCTTTTTTGTTGGTCGTTTTTTTTTATTTTTATTTTGTGTGTTGCTTAGTTTTGTTTTTTCTTTTTTTTTTTTTTTTTTTTAATTTTGTGTGGGGCTTTGTTTTGAAGGTCCCCTTCTATATCACCATGGGAAATACATTATGTTACTGCCTAGGCCCCATGGCTTGGCTCTGTTGTGCCTGCTGCAGGCCGAAGGTGGTGCCTTGCTATGAATCTGAGACTGAGTCTGTGGCAGCTGCAGCGCCAGCATTCACCACTGCAGAGCCTGCCACCAACACAAAGAGGCGCAAAGGTAAAGAAGCCATGGGTGCCATTTGCTCTCTGGCACATCTCTGGCCACCACCTCCCCACCTCCTTCCCATCCCGTCACCCCAGAGACATCCGCAGCTTCCAGCTCCCTCCTGCCTATAGCCACCTTTCCCAGGGCTGGGCATGGGGGGCAAAGGCTAGTCCTGCCTCTTGTCTTTGGTGTTGAGCCTTCTTGCTTGAGGCCTTTTTGGTTTAGTCTCTCTCTTTCCTCGATGAAAATTCAGACTCCAGTTTTGGAGTCTCCATCCCATCCTCTGGCCTGGCCTATCCAGCTAGGCTGGTACCTCACTGAAGGAGCCGGTTAAAGGCCCAGCCGTTTCTTTTCTCCTATTCGATAAGGAAGCTACTAATTGGGATAATTCAGACTCAAATATTTGGAGACTTCTTAAATTTAAAAGAGTTTGCCGTGGAAGAGATTATTTGTGGTTGTTTTTTTTTTTTGAGACGGAGTTTCGCTCTTGTTGCCCAGGCTGGAGTGCAATGGCGCAATCTCGGCTCACGGCAACCTCCGCCTCCTGGGTTCAGGCAATTCTCCTGCCTCAGCCTCCCGAGTAGCTGCTCCACCATGCCCAGCTAGTTTTTGTATTTTTAGTAGAGAAAGGGTTTCACCTTGTTGACCAGGTTGGTCTCGATCTCTTGACCCCCTGATCCACCCGCCTCAGCCTCCCAAAGTGCTGGGATTACAGGTGTGAGCCACCGCGCCCGGCCCTATGTTCTTAATAGATGGTTTTAAGTCACCTTGACAGAAGCAGCTTTATTTCTTCCAATTGTAATTTGAAAACTGAAGGAAAACTTGAAGGACATGCTTAAAATGACTGCAAAAGGTATGAAATGTTGCCGCCAGAGCTGTAAAAAAAAAGTGGTTTTTGTTTTGGTTTTACCCAAAAGTTTAGCCGTGGAGCTCTGAGTACTTTAAAATTCCCACTTTGACATGAATGACTCTTCCGCCCTACCCCAGTAACTTCATGGGCTTTGTTCACCTCCTTGTTCTGAGAGACAGATAGAGCTAGCTCATGGTTACAGGTTCCAAAAGAGATGAAATGATTTCAGACTTGAATTTGTAAGGTAGAGACTTGAGAGTTGGAAGGCAGCCCCTGCCTGTGGGGACAGTTTGTTTTCCTGGCTCCCCTTCCTACAGGATGGGAAAGGGGAGGAGAGAGGAAACGTTCCATTTCTTTGCTATGGTCAAATTGAAGACAAAAACGAACACTTGTAAGACAGGAGACGAGCACTTAGTTACAAAATCAGTCAAACATTGTGTATCACTACATCTGTTGAGCAAATGAAAGCTACCAGACTCAGAAAACAGAGATGCTAATGGAACTGACAATAGTAAGCAGGCTTTTCCGCTGAATTCAGTGCCCAGGGTGACTTCCAATAACAACCACCCTCCCCTCCACACACACACTGTTCTCAGGAGTGGAAAGCTCAGGCAGCCCAGGATGAATAATGCAGTCACACATTGGGGCAGGTGACTACAAGGTGGGCAGCAGCAGGGATGGGCATTGTGAGCCATTGGGTGGGGCTGTGGGGCGGGGCACTGTGAGCCACTAGCCTGACTTGGTTGTTTCCTGGTAACCGGGTGACATAGGCTTTTTGGGTGATAGGCATCAGCCAGGGCCAGCAGCCTTCAGTCTAAAATCCCTTAGGATTTTAGAAATAGATGAATCTAGCTACAGATAATTCTGGGTAACCAGTTCCTTGAACAAAAACTAAGTCCACTGAAATAGAAAACATTATATCATAAAGACGTAGAAATATGATCAGCTCATTTCTTTCATTTTAATGGCAGAGATTTTATTAGTATGGAGAAAATGTCTTAACTGCTCTTGTATTTAAACTTTAGTTTGGCTCTTACTTTCTTTCACAGAATAATTAAGCCTCACAGTGGGTGTGCCTTTGTAACAAGGAAGTGCTGTACTCCCTTTTCAGAATATTGAAAAATTGTGAAAGAATGAACAAATAATGATGAGACTTAATAGACTGTACCTTATACACAAGCATGCAAGTAGCTGTGGAAACTCCTTGCTTGGTGTGTACGGAAGATGAGGTAGTGAGAGAACAAAGTGAGCCTTTTCGTTATTCTTTCGGATGTAAAACATGTTTTCATGTACATCTTATCTGAACCTTCCAAGTACAATAAGGCCTGTGTGTATTCTCCCTATGTTGCTGATGCAGAAAGGAAAGTTTAGAGATCTGAAGGGACTGTGTGAGACAGCTACTGAACAGAACTGAGGTTCTAAGTCGTCAGGGTAGACATGGAGGTCGTAGTGGTGCCAAACTCAGATCTTAAAGAACTTGACAAACTCCAGAATGCCTTATATTGTAAGGTCTACCCATAACATAGACCTCTCTTAGAAGTTACTTTCATCTTGATTAGTTCCTTTTGCATTTTATTTTACACAACTTACAGGCAACATTTACCTCTCCATTTTTCGTCCTAAAGAGATGGGTCCTCACTGTGTGGCACAGGCCGGCTTCTGACTCCCGGCCTGGGCTTAAGCACTCCTGCTGCCTCAGCCTGTAGAAGAGCTGACAATACAGGCCTGTGCCGTCTCTCCTGGCTCTACCTTCTGTCTATACATTTATTGAAATGGATAAGGATAAAAATAGAGGTAATATAATGGTCTAAATTTACCAGTCAAATCAACAGTTTAATAAATGTTAAAGAGTTTCTTCTGCTAACTGATTTGAAGCTGAGAATGCCCTGGTCAGGAGAAGCTGGCCAGAGGGCAGGTAAGGCCCCACACATTCAGCACAGCATACGAGTCAGAAGTGTTAGGTCAGAGCAGTTGAAGAAAAAGTAATTTGTGAGCACAGAATTTACCATTTTATGTGTATGTGCATGAGAGTAAGTTTCTATATGTCTCTTCAAATGTATTTTTGTGGTATTCAATAGAGGGATAACAGAAACCTCAATTTCAGAGTTTATTCTTTGGCCAGGCATGGCGGCACGTACCTGTAATCCCAGCTACCTGGGAGGCTGAGGCAGGAGAATCGCTTGGATCCGGGAGTTGCAGGTTGCAGTGAGCCGAGATGGTGCCAATACGCTCCAGCCTGGCTGGACAAATAAAACAAGAAAGAAACATGTTGAGAACACTCAATATAAAGTATAGGCACATTCAAAGTTTGTTGTTGATATCTTTATTTCAGAAAATTGTGTATCACTTTTCTTGGAAACTGATAAATTCCTACTTAGATGTGAAACGTTTTAGCCTTTCTATAATGAGGAATTGAATTTTTTTGGTGACTCAGACAGATACCACAGCAACCAGTGCTCCAGCCTTTCTGTGGCACTCTAAACATTCATGTAAAGTCATCAGGTAGAGCAGGGCACACTGCTGTGGAAAGACATCCTGGAGTGCTCTCTAGGTGGCAGGTCCTGTTTCAGGAACTCATGCCAGAAATGATGCTCTGCTTCGTTGTTCTCTTCTGAAGTATTTCAAAAGAACATTGTGTCTTGAAGCCATTTCAAAGAGACGTTCTAAGAACCCACTTTAGATCTCAGACAGACTCAAGCATATTTCCTCTTATCTTGCCTTTACTTAGCAGTGTATCTAATATGACTGGGGGTAATATAAGTAACGCAGATTAAGATAGTAGGAGCTTATATCCAATTTTCTCACTAGCCATCAACTTTCCATGCAGCCTTCTGTGTTCTTACCTTAGGAGCGCTGCTAATTTGCGGGGGCTCTCAAGTGAGGGGTCAGGGAAGGGAAAGAATGGGCATACGATGTAGAGACCTCTGAGAAGCAGGTCTTTCCACTTTCTAGTAGCTATTTTCAACCCTCCTTTTAAAATAACTATCAGTGTGTTTCATGTAAAAGAAGTAGAAAATAAAGAAAAATTATTTATTACACTCAGAATACCCAGAGCTCACTTATGTTACTATTTGAGTACTGGTTCTTTTGGAAATTTTTGGTATGCATTTGAATATCATATTTTATTCCACAAACTTTTTTGTAAAATAAAACTTTTTGATCATTTTATATGTGCTGCCTTGTAACTTTTACTTAAAGCAGTGAAATAATGGCATAAGTTTCTCAAACCGTACTTGACACCTAGCGAGCATTCCAGGATGTCTTTGCCTGCCAGGGCACCCTGCTCTACCTGATGACTTTGAATAACTGCTTGGTGTACTACGGATAGGTTAGAGCATTATTTATTTACCTACCCTTTGCGATTGGCTGTCTTTTTTGGTAAAGTCAGACACAATTCTCTTATGTTTGATTCTAAGAATGCACATAAAGCACATGTTGATGACAGATACGTGATATCTCATTATAAAATTCAGATAATATATTTTGTCTAGTGACATAATTAAACCGATGAAATGAGTCACTTTGTATTTAAGGTATTTAAGTATTAAATACACTTGTGTCAAACTGCAGTTACTGTTGACTTTTATTTATTTATTTATTTATTTATTTATTTATGAGACGGAGTTTCGCTCTTGTTACCCAGGCTGGAGTGCAATGGTGCGATCTCGGCTCACCGCAACCTCCGCCTCCTGGGTTCAAGCAATTCTCCTGCCTCAGCCTCCTGAGTAGCTGGGATTACAGGCACGTGCCACCAGGCCCAGCTAATTTTTTGTATTTTTAGTAGAGACGGGGTTTCACCATGTTGACCAGGATGGTCTCGATCTCTTGACCTCGTGATCCACCCGTCTCGGCCTCCCAGAGTGCTGGGATTACAGGCTTGAGCCACCGCGCCCGGCAAGAATATTCCTTTATTATTATTTTTTGAGTTCATTCCTCTTGAACTGATACTATTACTATATTGAAACTTCCTTCTTTCCTTTGTGGATAGACAAGCTCGAGGTTTATCAATGTCACTGATCTTTTAAAAGAACTGGTTTTTTGTTTTGTTGCTTTTCTCTGATGATTTCCTGTTTTTTATTCCATTAATTTCTACAGTCATCATTTATTTTTTCTCTGTTGGACATTACACTGCTGTTTTTCTTTCATTGCCACAGGTGGAAGCTAGATTATGAATGTAGATTTTTCTCATGATTGACACATCATCATGAATATGACTCACTGAATATAATATCATTAAAATGCGCACTTAATTAAAATAATAAATATGTATACTTTACTACAATTTAAAAAATACACCAGGTTAGATGATAAACGTAGTAGCAGGATATGTAGCTCCACAGAAGTTAAATAAACCTGTAACCTTTCCTAAAACCGTGGGGATTTGCCTGGACCTTCACATGGGCAGCAGGTGTGATGAGATGCTCTCGCTGAGCTATATAGTGCCTTTCTGCATTAACCGGTTCTTAGACTATTTCACACTGATGAGGTTGCCCTAGCTAGGAAGCCAAGGCTCTTTCATTTCTTTCTGCCCCTCTCCTTTGCCTTCCTTCAGCACCAAGGGGAATGGTCCAGCAGCAGCTCAGTCCGTGCTTGTCAACCGCCCAGCTCCACACACTCCAGCCCCCGCCCACATTCCCCAAAGCTCCTTGTGAGATTCCTCAGCAGCACCCATGCCCTGACTGTCACTGTGTGTTCTCCTAGCTCCTGTTGACCACCCAGAGGAGTTTACCCTTGGCAGTGCGGAGGAGGAGGTGGCCTCTGACATGGTAACATACATTTCTTTGTCTGGAAATTTTTTGTGTGTTGGGCTTCTACACTATGAGACCAATATGATTTTTGACTGCCATCATAAATCAGGCCTCAGGGGGTCGTGGACTCTAGCGACGGGTCACTGAAGATTATGACCAACTGAGACCTGATGGAAGAGGTCTGTCAAAAGAGGGCATCCCTACAAACTGGTCGTGAGCATATTTCTCAGTAGTAGTGTTATCTTCTTGAAAAAATAGTTTCGTAATCCTCACGGTGTTTCTTTTTCTCTTATTGCAGGAGAAGCCTGCCGCCCAGTATCATCACTGTACGTATTCTTTTTCTTTTAAAGAGTTACTGAGATGTAGTTGACATGCAAACCAATTCACCCATTTAAAGTAGGTGATTCAGTGTTTTTACTATATTTACACGGTTGTGCAGCCATTGTTACAATCTAATTTTAGAAGCTCTTGATTTTCCCTCAAAATATCCCATTAGTAGTGACTCCTCTGTTTTCCCCAACCCGCACACCCCTGGTTCTAGGCAGCCCTAATTAACTTCCTGTTTCTATAGTACCCTGCCTTTCTGTATTCACCGGTTCTTCAAATGATTATTTCACACTGATGAGGTTACCCTAGCTGGGAAGCCAAGGCTCTTTCATTTCTTTCTGCCCCTCTCCTTTGCCTTCCTTCAGCACCAAGGAGAATGGTCCAGCAGCAGCTCAGTCCGTGCTTGTCAACCGCCCAGCTCCACACACTCCAGCCCCCGCCCACATTCCCCAAAGCTCCTTGTGAGATTCCTCAGCAGCACCCATGCCCTGAC